CTGGCTCCGGTACCACTTATAGATGTTTGTAATTTTAGAGTAGATGAATATAGAAGAACATAGGTAGAGAGAGGAACAAAAGGGTTAAAGGAGAAGAGATTAAGAGATATTAGAGAGAAAAGAGATACCAAGAACTGAGTTTATGAATCTGTCATGCCTTTACATTCAGACGTCAGGGATTTTATAAAAGGACTTATAGGAACCCAACGGCTAACCTGATGTCTAAATCACCTTAACTAACTAATGTCAACATTATAAAATCATAACAGAAAACTTGCGGAAAGAATTCTATCAAGAACTTTGTTGCTTATGATAGACTTTCTTCTAAGTTTCAAGTCTATGTATAATGTAGAATTTTTAAAGCTTTCTGATATTGTTCGTAAGGCGGCCTAGAAACAGGAGTGACAGGCTGTCATTCATGGGTGACTTGAGTTAAATGCTCTAGAGAGAACAAAACTGGGAGATTGTTAATATATCTCCTAGAAATGCTACACTAAGTTGCAAGTGGATTTTCATTGCAAAATACAACTCTGATGGGAGTATTAATTGTCACAAGACAAGAATTGTAATTAAAGGGTTCACCCAAACTTTTGGCATCATCAACTACCAAGAAACATTTTACCAATGTCCAAGTTCAATACAATCAACTATTGATTTAACTACTAGGTAATTTAAATTCGCCCCTCCATTATTTTGAAGTGAAGGTTACTGTCCTAAATAGAGATCTTAAGGAAGAAGTGTACATGGAGATCCCCACCTGGTCTCTAAAGGCTAAAAAGTACATGGTTGCAAACTTCATAAAACCTCATATGGTCTCAAACAATCTCTGCACGCTGGGTTTGAGAAATTTCCTGCCATTGTCAAAAATATTTGTTATAATTAATGCCAAACTAACTGTATTCTATTTGTTAAGGCTCATATTAATGGGAAGTTGGTTACCTCTATTGTAAATGCGGATGACATTGTAGTGACAAGTGAATTTCAATGGATCAATAAGCTTACAAGATCTCTAGCTACAGAGCATAAAATCAAGAAGTTTGGTGGATTGAGATACTTCCTTGGAATGGAAGTGACCAAATACAGTGATAGAATAACCATCTCAAAGACGGAGTGTATAATAGATCTTCATGAAAAAACAGGTATCTAGAGGTATGAGCCAGCTAATGCTCTAATTGAAGCAAATTATAAATTAGTACTTCTCAATATCTAATTTATAATTTATAAATTATAAATTAGATATTGAGAGGTACTGGAGACCAGTAGGCAAATTGATATACTAATAACACTAGGCCAAACATCTGGTTCTTTTTGAGTGTCGTAAGCCAATCCATGAACGAGCTAAATGATGAACACTTGAAAGCTATGTACAGAATTCTAAGGTAAAATAAGATGATTTTAAGGGTTGTTCTTTAAGGTACTCAGAGAAGTGGAAGTTACTCACATGCAGATTGAATTGGATTTGTGGTAGAAAAGAGGACTACGAGATCCTAGATACCCATGTGTCGGGTAACTTAGACGCCTAACCATGTGCTGCCAGTAGTGTTAAGGATGAGTTTTAACCTATAGCACTCAATATTCATGAGGGAATGTGGTTGATGAGACTTCACAAAGAGTTGAAATTTAATCTATGTTTGCCAATGAAAGTTTGTCAAGACAACATGAAAATCATTGCTACAGCAAAAGACTCTATTCTTCACGATAGGACCAAACATGTAGCAATCGACTTGACATTTTATTAAGAGTGAATCAGGTTCACTGTAGCCAAAGTACATTCCTACCAATTCTCAAGTAACAAATGTTCAACCAAGATCATTGGCCACGTCAAATTTGACAAATTAAGTTTCAAGCTGAGAACGATCAATATACACTCCAGCTTTAGTAATGAAAGTCATTGAGCACATCATATGGGAGTCCAAAACCCACACACCACACTTACAGACTTCCACTACTTGCAGACCAACTTTACAAGTGCAGATTCTCTTTCTAGTTGTTTTGATTGTTACCAAGTGTTATTCTTAGTAGGACAACTTTCATCCATCGCTCTTCTCGTATATCATGCTTAGGTACTATGCCGCCAGAAACACTAGAGGTTTTTTTGACTTTAAGCAATGATTCATAAGACTGACTCATTTTATTAGTAGTCAAATATTTTTCTTTCAAATTGTAAGAAACTATCCTAGAAAACATGTAAGAAATAAGAAGCAATTTACAACTCTTAATATAATGTTCAATTATTTTATTTAACTCCAGGGAAAATCCAGGATTCTTTAGTTTCTTTCTCTTTTTTTTTTTTTTTTTTTTGTGTTTTTTTTTGGGGGGGGTGATTAAAAGATGGTAACATAACCTAAAAATACACAGCAGTGCAAAGGACTGCATATCACTTTAGGGGGCATACTTGTATATCTGCGTTAAAAAACCAATACTGGCAATCGGAGGGTAGCACAAATTGAATAAAATAAAATAAAATTTTCAATCACTTCCCTGGACTGCTTTTATTAATTGTAATGTGATATTTCAAAATTTTGATTTATTTTTCTCCTGTTCTTTCAACGATAAAGCTGCGCCACACCAAAAAGTGTGTTCGTGAAACGGCATTTATCACCTGTACAGGAGGTTAAATAAATGCCATTTATTATCCTATGTGATAGAGACCCTACAGTGTTTTTGATAGCATTTATTTTAATTCGAAACTGTCAGAAACAAAAGCTGTCAACCTTTACTCAAAAAGTCAAACTTCTACAACTAAAATGCAATACTTTCACTGTTCAAACTTTGCACAAACTGTACTAGCAGAATCAATTAGAAACTCTAGAACTATAACCAAGTCACTTAAGAAACTATTTGAAACCACCCAAAAAGTGCAATGAAAGAAGCGATATACAACTCTTAAGCTAATACTTAACTATTCAAAAACACCCTATTTGTAATATAGCAGATAGATAGATACTGCTAAAGCAGGAAATTAATGAAAAATTAAAAGTCTCCACTCATTCAACAATCAGTTGTCCTATATAGTCACCAGCAAATGATGCTCACACGGACGTATTAAACTAATCAACAATGTGGTGCGAAGCAAAATAGGAAACGAACCATCGTGCATGATCTTAATAATAACACCTAAGTCAGGCCATGTGATAACAAAGAGGAGCTCTCCAAGAGATATTAGAAAATAGAACTTACTTTCCTTCTCTCAGCTCAGGGCTACGAAGAGAGTACTTCAAAAACAGAACGTCTCAGACAACATCTCAATATGTCATTTGCTGCGGCAAATGCCAAGTGAATGATTGCCTGAAATTGCATGAAATCCACCCATTACACCCAAAAGATAAAAGGAACAGTAATAGTACAGAATAATTAACATATGAAAAGCATAACCTTTATTTGGACTATAGTACAGGGATCAGATACAACCAACACTCCAAAATGGTGGCCTGCAAAAATCCTACGCAACAACCGAAATTATTAATGTGTATTCATAATATACTTTTTTTGCAAGTAAAATTTCCAATATCTCTCCTAAATTAATGAGCTTCAAGTTTCCAGTATTGTTCCTTACATGGATTGTTCTCCCTAACAAACGTTTAAACTTCGCAAGCAGAAAGGATATAGTCCTGAAATCAAGAAGGTTTAGACATGTTACTTTCCATGTTATCATTTATTCTGTGAATTCTTGGAAGATCTGGCTAGAAAACAAACTTCTAATGAGAAATAAGAGTTCCAAAAAGTTAAAAGATATCAAAGAAATAATGTGTAGCTACATTGACACATGGGCCCTGCACAATCCTGTCATTGGAATATAAAGCCCTTGGGAACCCTGAAACTAGCAGAACTTGAGTTCAATAATGAAGCTGGGCTTGTAATGTTGATCAACCACTACTGTAGAAACACAAAATTGAAGAAGCCAAATGATGAAAAGGGTGAGGAAACAGAGGGATACTGCATTTCTTTCAACAGCTTCATTTGGACAATTAGAGTCTGACTCCCAGCCTCCAATAATTAATTAAGAGCCCATTTGGGCAACCCTCAAAAGCACATTCAAATCACATATGGAATGTACTTTTATCAAATCCAACAAATAGTTAGATCTTCCAAATATACTTTTACTAAATGTAAACTGAAATTCAAATGAACACTACCCCTATTTGAGTAGCGGATCTCAATGTCTGATCTAGAATAGATCGTGGCTCTCACTTCATTAATTTTGCTAAACCCCGGATGGTTTGCCCCTGCATCTTTGACTGCCAACTGAATAGCTTCCAAAGAATCTGAGCAAACAATCAGCTTCGAAAAACCATCATGTTTACATATCTGTAGGCTTGTTTTCCAGGCCAAAAGTTCAGCAACTGTAATGAGATACCAGAGAATCTAAGCAAGCGAAAAAGCAGCATGCAAAGGAGGGAACAAAAACTGAGAAAATAAATAATGGAGGAAACTTTCTCATCTCTCTTTATCCTTAAATTTTAAAAAGCAGGATATTAAATGCTGACCATCACAAATCTCTACCTTTATATTTTAAAACAGAAGTGAACAAAATAATGTTTCTGAACCTCTAACTACAACACTTTGAACCAACAAGATATGGCACGTATAATAAGGGCACGAACAAGATAATGCAGTGAGCCTTCAAGGTAAAAACTGCCTCACATAAATTCCTCAATATCAGAAAACATGTCGCACGCCTATGGCACAGGCAGCAATCTCCAATCAGAATTCCAACAGTCAGTGGCAAGTGCAACATGTTATGTAATGGATATGATTCAATAACCCTATTCACCATCAACAGAAATTATTTTCAACTCTCGTTACGGTCACATCAGCCAAAACCATAGAACTTAAAAACAAATCGCTGCCATTCCGGAATCATGACCACATTCAACTAATGCTGGAACATACTAATGCTACAATGCTCGTAAGATCCATCATGAGATTCACGATGACCAAAAAAAAAAAGTGCATCCCAAGATCTTTCCTGCCAAAGAGCCTTAAAAACCAGCAATCAGTGAAATAAAGTCTAAAATATGTCATTACCAGCTAAGATTCCCTACTAATACATTCAAAATTATCATGTAATTACATTTTAAACAAGATGCAGCATCAGATTGCACCCTAGATATAGCTTCTGAAAGAAAAAGAAAAGAAATAAATCAAGCACGGCGTTTGCTCAAACGCCACGAGTTTGGCTCATGGTATCTGTCATAAAGTGGCTCTATACGCTCTTGTCTCTTCCGCTTGCTCATTTTTGTAGGATCTGCCACTTTGAAGAATCTTGGAGCCAATTCAACTAGCCATTTGGGATCTATGACAGTGACCTCACGCATATATTCTTTTGTTGTCATCACAAGCTCATGGTAGATGACCCAATCTGGCTGTCTCTGGAACAAAGCTGAACTGGGATGAATATATACAGGCTGGTTCTCGACGAGGGTTCTGTAACCTTCTTGAGGGTCCTTTCTAGCCGCATGAAAGAAAAATCCCGCAGTAATAGCCTTCCTGATCTTAGTGAAGTTTTTTCCAGCACTTACAACATCTAATTTGTACCTGAAAAATAGAGCCAACGCTTCAGAAACTAGCTTAATCAAACCAATATAAAATGCAATTTAAAATCTGAAAAATAAGTACATAAATGAACAGAGAGAGCCTCTAAACAATTGGCCATGCAAATTAATATAGAACATAGATAAAAGTGGAAGCAGCAAAGCAAGCAAAGATATCATCTAGGAAGATAGATTAGATAGATAGATAGATAGATATCATACTTATCCATAATGGTGAGAAGCTGTTTCCTGACGTCCTGTGCCCTTCTCAAAGATCGAGATTGAACAAAATTCTCAAAACACCAGGGTCCAGAAAAATTTTTAGCTTTCCAAGCCTCATACACAGCAAGTAGAGTAAGATGGTCACCCTCAGGCTGGAAAAACTTTGCCCTCTTCTGATCAGCTTGGGCTTGTTTTTCCCTAGGCCTGTAAAAAATATTGCCAGTTTGAATCATGGCAATTATGGTCAGTATCTCATCACTACAACCAAGGTCCACACTGGCAAGTAGCATCTTGGACAATGGTGGATCTAGAGGAAATTCTGCCATTTTCCTTCCTAATTTAGTTAAAAGGCCCTCTTCATCCAGTGCCCCAAGGCTATACAGCTGTTCCATGGCTGAAATGAGAGCCTGGGGTGAAGGAGGATCCATAAAATCAAAGGACAGAAGATCATTTATACCCATAGCTTTCATCGTAAGAGTAGTTGTCCCAAGATTTATCCTTTGAATTTCTGGAATAGTAGTAGGAGACATCTCATTTCTATATGCTGCCTCAGTATAGAGGCGGTAACATTTACCAGGCCCAGTACGCCCTGCACGCCCAGCTCTTTGTTTGGCTGATGCTTGTGAAATTGGAGTTATCACCAAAGAATCAAGTCCTTGTTTTGGGTTGTATACATTTTGCTTAGCAAATCCAGGGTCAATTACATAAAAAATACCATCAATTGTCAAAGAAGCCTCAGCAATATTAGTTGCCACAACCACTTTTCTTTTGCCTGGGGGCGCGGGATCAAATATCCTAGACTGCATTTCACTAGGAAGAGCGCTATAGACAGGCAGAATAATCAATTCAGGAACATTCTTACCTAATCCTTTCATTCTCTCGTAAAGAGACTGACATGCAAAATCAATTTCCTCTTGACCAGTCAAGAAGAGAAGGACGTCTCCTTCTGGTTCCGTCAAATGAATCTGTAGGACAGTGATTAAGGCTGCATCTAAATAATCACTTTCTGGTTGCTTGGTATAAAGTATCTCCACAGGAAAAGTCCTCCCAGGAATTGTAAAAATGTTACAGTTAAAGAAATGCCCTGAAAATTTCTCAGCATCTAGTGTAGCTGATGTGACAATCAATCGCAAGTCAGGTCTACGTTTCACCAGCTGCTTCAATAGTCCAAAAAGAACATCAGTATGAATAGTTCTTTCATGAGCTTCATCAAGCATTATAACAGAATATTGTGACAGACTCTCGTCAACCAATATTTCCCTAAGAAGCATGCCATCTGTCATGTACTTGATCACAGTATCTGGTCCAGTGCAATCCTCAAATCGAATGGCATAACCAACTTCCTCACCTAATCGACAACCAAACTCTTCAGCAACTCGTTTTGCCACTGACATAGCAGCCACCCTACGAGGCTGAGTGCATCCAATTTTACCTCTTGTAGTGTAACCAGCTTCAGCGAGATACTGTGTGACTTGAGTTGTTTTACCTGAACCTGTCTCACCAATCACCACCAGAACCTGATTGTCATGCACAGCTTGAATCAGCTCTTTCTTTAATTTGTAGATTGGTAGGCTCTGCCTCTGTTCCTGAATGGAGAGCTTTGATCTTTGTCCAAAAGTGATGGTCTTCCCATAAGCATCCTTCTTCCATTCAGGCATGTCATAGGCTGATAAACCAACACCCCTAAGCTCCTGTGCCAGATGTCGTTCACCTGACTCTGGCATGGGGTCTTCCCAAGGACGATTGAGATCCTTCGGAATAGAATCAAGCATTGTGCGTTGTTGTTGTTCTCGTACTTCTCTGCGCTCCTTTATAAGTGCAGACTGTAGGGCAGCAGCACGACTTAGGGAACCTTCAGGATTCTTGAAGATCTTAACAGGTGACATGTCCATTGAATACCTACTCTGCCCATGCAGAAAAGCAGGTTCGTCCTCATTCATTTCGATCTCAAGTTCTTCTTCGGCTCCTTCCTCTTGGTATAGCACTCCATCTCCCTCCTCATCATAAGTTGGATACTCTGTAACACTTAAAACACCTGAAGCAATTAACTGCTTTGCTTCCCATTTCTCAGGAGAGCTCATTCTCTTTAAAGGTCTGCGTGAAGAACCAACATAATCATCCTCTTCCACAATCTTTATCCCCGAAAGACCTGTCCTGGTTACTGGTCCCTCCTTTGAATCTTGAGGATTCATTCGGAAAGCATCATCATCCGAGCTCTTCTTCAAAGGAAGAAGATCCTTCCCAGTGTGCTGATCAACATCTCTCATTGACAGACTCAACTTCTGACCAGAAATTGATATTAGCTTCACGTAAACCTCCTGGTCCCTCTTCACAACGTCCTTAGCATTACTAATTCTTCGTGTTGCCATCTGGGAAACGTGTACTAAACCCTCCTTTCCTCTAAAATCATCTAACTGAACAAAGCATCCTGTATCCATAACCCTTGACACTCTACCTTTATAAACCATATACAATTCTGGTTCATTAGAGCCGTACCTTCGATCTCTATGAGATTTCCTGTCTCTATCTTCATCACCGTTCTCCTTTCCATATCGATTCTCTTCATGCCCATCTCTCCTACGCCTCTCGTGTCTGTCCCCATGTCTTCCGTTACTTCGGTAATCCCTTCTCTCATCCTCATATTCATAGTCTCTGTCTCTGTCTCTTTCTCTATGCCTCTCCTCTCTTTCGTACCTATCCCTACGCCTGTCTCTCCTATCTCTGTCTCTACTTCTGTATTTATCCTCGTCTTCCCGTTCCCTCTCTCCATGGTTTTGTCTAGCCTCCATCTCTAATTCCTTCTCGAGTTCTTTTGCTCGATTCCTATCGTCCGCAATGGCTAGGGCCTTAAACTTGGTATTGCTTCCATCGGCGGCGCTATCTTTACTCGATTCCTTCTCCGACTTGGGCCTGGGAGGAAGAATGGCATGTATGATAGTCAGAAGTGTTTTGACAAAATAATCCGGCATCTCCGCTCCATTCTCCTTTAATTTGGCATCAAATTCCTCCACATTCTCAGAATTCCGACCCAACTCTGTAATAAACTCAGCGAGGACTTTATCGCCGGTGCCGGTGTGGGATTCTAGCTCAGTGCATACCTTGGAAACGAGAGACAAGTACTCAAGCTTCTTCAGTCCATCTTCCTCGATAGCCATAGGGAATATTTTCTTGCGTACCCTAAATTTCCAGAGGATTTGATGAGAAGCAAAGGGAAGAAGAAGAAGTGACGATAGGCACAGAGAAAGAAGAAAGAAGTTTATAGCCACAGCAGAAGCATCAAATCGGCGAACAGGCGAAATTGACGACAGGCGGCGGCAAGCGGATCGTCCGGCGGGCAGAGAAAATGGCTCCTCCAAATCGGTTCGAATTGGATCTCAACGATCGCGTTTTATCCAAATCCAAAATAAAATAAAAATAAAAAACGATCCCAATAGGATCATTGATTTTTGGATTTTGATCAATTAAGGGTCCGTTTGGATTTCAGTTGAGTATAATAAATTATAAAAATAATTGATTAAGTGATAGATTTTAATCAAAATTGATTATGTTATGATGCAAACTGTTTGGATATTGAGATTAATTTCAACTGTGCAAATTATCATAAAATACATTGATTTTTAAAATTAAATTATTAATAAAGTTGTATTTAATATTAATAAATTTCTTAAATTTTATTTAACACAATTATGAATTATTTACAAATTATTTATTATTAATATGGTAAAATGGAAACCAGAAGCAGGTATGAATAGATTAACAAAAAAATCGATTTTAGCATGTTTAATCGATTATCTCATTATTATGCTGTTTGGCAAATTTTGTTTTGAAAATCGATTAAACCCTAAAAAATCGATTCTTGATGCAAACCAAACGGGCACTAAGGCGGCGTCTCAACGCTATTTTGTTGATGAAAATCGCTTTTATTTATACTTATTTTATAAATTTATAAATATTGTAGTATAAATATTGAATGTCCATAATTTCTACTCCCTCTCTTTGGGGTACCTTCTAAAAGCATTTTTTTTTAATCTTTAATATAAGATACTTAATTAATTTTTAATATTATTTTTATTTAAATTTATTAATTATGAGAATTAATGTAATGTAAATTTAAAGAATTTTTATTTAAGTAAGGATAAAATTAAAAATTTATTCTATTTTTAAACAATATTAAATAATTTAACTCTCTTTTTGATTCCGATAAAGTAGTTGAAAGTAACAAGGTGCTTTATAGTAAGAAATGAAAAAGTATCTCTTAAAATTTTTCATCTTTAATTTCTTAAGCAATAACCTTCTAGTACCTTAGGGAATTATTTTTTGTGGAAGTGAAAGTAAAAATAAAAGTGAAAGTGAAGTTTAAAAATGTGTTTGACATGCACATAAAAGTATTAAATTTATTTTATTCAATAATTATATTTATAATGTGAAATTGCAAATATATCCTCATCCTTAAAAACACAGCCTTAACCCACAACTTATGCTTGTTGATTGTTGTTGCCAAAGGGCAAAGGTCACACTCACTTTTACAAAAAAAGGCAAAATTTGCTAGAAATACAATGAAAGTTGAACCATTATTATCAAATATAACATTTTCAAATTCTCAAAAGTCATTATGAAAACTTCACTTAAATTATTATTCATTGAACATATATGATTCTTGTGAAGCTTTTAAGTTTTTAGAGGAGCTAGACTTGTTGAATAGAGTTTTCACCTTGTATTTACCTTTTGGATAAAGGCAACTTAACCTTTTTATCAAATAGGATATTTGTAAGGGAAAATTGTTATAAAAAAAAACTCACCACCAAATTAATTGCTAAAAAAGAGTTGGAAACTTCTGGAGAATGAAGTCCTTTGCTAGCGTTAATTGCTAAAGGCTAAATGATATAAATGCCCTTCTTGTAAAAAAGAAAAAGTGAAGTAAGGTCTTTCGCTATCAATAATTTTATATCAACACTTAATGCAAGGTCCCTCAATATTAATATCTCAAAATAGACCACATGTTCTTTCGTTATATGCATTTGAATTTCAATTATATGTAACAAAACTTTCATTTATTCAAATAATATCTTTTGATATTATGAAAATTTTTAACTTAAAAGCATTTTGGAATACTAAAAGTAAGAGTCTTCAATCATATGCAATAATTCTTTCACTATATACATTTAAACTTCAATTACATGCCAAAAAAAAAACTTTCATTCATTTGAATAACACTTTTGCATATTCAAATATCACTCATTGATTTCTTTTATGGATATTTTTAGAAGCTTATGCAATCTTTCTTTCTTAATATGCAATCGATCTTCAATGAAATACAAATTTCTTACACATATTCAAATAACCCTTTTGAATATTCAAATATTACTCATTAATTTTTCCTGTGGATATTTTTGAAAACATATACAATCTTTCTTTCTCATTATGTGATTGATTTTCAATAAAATGAAAATTTCTTCCACATATTTGAATAACAATTTTGTATATTTGAATATCACTCATTAATTTTCCTTATAGATATTTTTGAAAGTATATGCAATCTTTTTTCCTCAATATGCGACCTATCTTTAATGGAATGTAAATTTCTTCCACTTATTCAAAAAATAGTTTTGCATATTCGAAGATGATTTATCATTTCTGTTATGGATATTTTTGGAATCATATGTAGCCTTTCCTCCTTAGTCTGCAGCTAATCTTTAATCAAATGTAAATTTCTTTGAATAACACTTTTGCATATTTGAATATCATTTGTTAATTTCTTTCTTAGATACTTTTGGAATCATATGCAATCTTTCTTCCTCGACATGTAGCTAATTTTCAATGAAATACAAATTTCTTTCATATATTTGAATAAATGGAAGCCTTTTTACAATTCTTTAAAGTGATATCTAAATGTCCAAAATAGTTATTCAAACAAATGAAAGAAAAATTACATTTTCAGGATATTTAAAATGTATATTTGAATATGACTTAAAACTTGGGGTTTGAATATTGTATCAATATTGTATTTTTAGGATATCATAAATGCATATTTTAAAAACGCAAATGAATATTTTAAAAATGCATATGGATATTTTGAAAACACAAATTGATATTTTGAAAATGCATATAGATATTCTAAAAATTTTCTCTTTTTTCATGAAAACACTAAAGGATATTTTGAAAATGCAAATACATATTATGAAAATTTACTCATTTTTCATGAAAATTTGTTTTGATATTATGAAAAGAAAGTGTTAGAAATGAAAGAAAGTCATTGACCAACTCATACACTGAACAAATTTATTTCTTCATATTGGCATAATGCATGGTTCATGTTTTATACTTTACATTGAGTTTTAAAGTAAATTGATTTTACATTTCATATAGCAAAATAATTAAACACCAACAAATATTCACTTATAAATAAAGTCGGGAATAAAAGTCAAGCTTAACGCTCACCCATTTAAGCTCATTTTTATAAGAGTTTTGCCTTTAAAATATGTCATTTTTTAGAGAAAACAGGCTTTAAAGCCCAGCCCAGATAGACTCTGGAAAAAAGGGCTCGGGCTCGGCGGCCCTTTAGGCTTTTTTTTTCATTTTAACTCAAAAAATAAAATATTTTTATTTTTAAATTGAATTTAAACTTTAAAATATATATTTATACTTTAAGATTTGATTTTCTATTATTTATTTTAAATTTTTTAATATTATAATTTATATTTTAAAAATATATGGAATGTTAAAATTGAAGTTTTTAATTTTTAAAAAATTTAAAAAATAAAAAATAATAATAAAGGGCTTATGGCTCAGTCCTGAGCCATTCGAATAAGGGCCAAGCTTCATAAATGAGACAATTTTTTGAAAACTAGGCCAAGCCTCTTATGGGCTTAGGCCGATAAGGGTCAAGTACATATGGGCCAAGCCTATCCATTTCCCACCTCTACTTATAAGCAAAATAACGCTTGAAGTAAGAAATTGAATATGTAGACAAATAAGAGTTACAAAAGATGAAATTTTATATCTTTAAATGTGTATTCAAATAATCATATATCCTTTGCATATGAAAACAATTTCATAGACAGGAACATTTACAAAAGACTCATCCTAATAATACTCTTGATCTATTCATCATAGCCTCCTTCTTCTCCAACACTGTCACCTTCTTCTACCACTTTATTCTTACCTCTTGATTCTCTCAAATTTGAAATGCTTTTGTCTTCTCCAAGTCTTGTAATGCCAAATGCATTAGAAACTTTATAAATTTTCAACAAAATATTTACTCTAAAGAGCATGTTTGATATAAATTATCATTTTAATGTTGCCATCTAATATAAGCTATTACATCTCATTGATGATTTTTCATGTAGAATTCATCCATACAAGCTATTGCAATTAGAAAGCAATAAGTTATATTTTGTAGAACCTGAAATTCAAACCTAGGAATACTAGAATAGAAAATCAAAATACTACAAAAGGAAAATTAATTGAAAAGAAGAGAAGAAAAAGGCATGGAACTATGATCAACATTATCTTTACATAGAACTAGAACAAGCAGATAAGCTTCAATAAGTTTCCTTCGCACTTGAGAATATATAACAATGAAGTAAATACCAACATGTCGGTTTACTATGTAGAGTTTATTCTTCATCTATACTAATAATCTACAAATCATAGGTCCTTGAAGACATGCATGTGAAATATCATAACAAAAAGACAAATAAAAAAAAATCATACTTTTGAACAAGTAAAATATAGAGTTATTTGTAGAAGTTCATATCTTGAATAACCATAACAATGGTGTGAAGGCAATAGTCTATCCTCATTAACAGGGAATGAATATCTAGCATCTAGACTAGAAATACCAATTTTGTCTACAAAAGTAAGGAGCTTATGATGTCAATTGTTAACTTTTACAATCCAACACATGAAATCTACAAAAAGCTTACATGTGTTTATCGAGGAAAATTTAGCATTATTCTTGCTATATCAATAAATCTTAAGAGAATATTAAAAGTTCAAAGAAAAACACCTACATGAAGTGAATCATAAGCTTCTTCCATATTCACATTCAAAGCTCACAATAAAATTGATAAACTTCATGCTCTCTTTGAGTCAATGATTTGGATAAACCCCATAACAATGAAACCAATAATTATACAGGTTCCTATTTTTGTGAATTCTGCACCAAAAATTCAATGAATTGAAGATGACCAAATATTAACAAAAATAGGAAAGGCAAAGGAAGGGCAAGGAAAGGAAGGAAGAGCATATTTACCTTTATGATCAAGCTTGTGGCACTACTTTACAAGACAAATACTATCCTTGGCAAAGTCCTTGAGAGGATCGACGATGAAATCAATGGCATCCATCATCACAAATATTAGTAGATTAGTGAACTCAAGC